TCCATACCACTAATCATCCTTGTTGCCCTTCTCTGTACCTTCTCTAGTTCTTCTATATCCTTTTGGAGGTGTGAGAACCAAAACTGGTCATAGTATTCAAGGTGTGGATGCACCAAGGATTTATAAAGGGACATAATTGACACTTCCTATTTTGTTCACAGTTCCTTTCTTAATAATGCCTAACATTTTGTTTGCCTTTTTGATGGCAGCTGAGCATTGTTCTTAGCAAACTGTTTACAAGGACTCCCACCAAGATCTCTTTCCTGTGTGGTAACAGCTAATGTAGAGCCCATCATACTGTAGGTATAATTTTTGGTTATTTTTGTCCATGGGCATCATTTTACACTAAACTACATGGAGACTACTTGGAGATGTTAAAAAACCAAAAAACTGCGCTTCACTGGAAGAAGCAGTGCATTACTTTGACCCAGTCCTTCAGCGTCTGCGTAGATTGGGTGCTTCAGTGGGGCTTTTTGGTGCTTTTATCTAAAAGCAGGTTCAATCCAAGCCTCGCACCCAGCCACTCTCCCTAACACCACACAAATGCCATATGCCCACACCCTGCCCCCATAATGCCTCCACATATACACCCCCCAGCATACCCAATTGCCCCCCCAATATACAAGGGTAAGACTTTATTTTTGAGTTATGAAATCGCCTCTATAACCAGTACACAAACACAAATCATGACAATTTTTATATAATAAACTTAAAATACATTATAGCAGGTGTTTGACTTTTAGTGTATGACTAGCAAATTGCCTGTCAAGAATGAGGGGGGGATGGAGGGGGGAGAAAAGCTTGCTAACTCTAACCCCCTGCCCCCGTGTTGCTGCCACCTCGCAGCAGTGGGAGGGGCGAAGCTTGCCCCTCCGTCCCCCCTCTGCCAGCACCCCACGCCACTACCAGCTCCAAGGAGCAGGTATTATGGTACCTGTGTTATCAGTTGAAAAATCTACCTTATTTGATTCAATGTAGTTTTTGATGTAGAGTGCCACTCCCCCACCAGTATGACTTGTTCTGTTATTCCTGTATAATTTGTATCCTGGCATTTTGGCATCCTTTTGATTTTCCTCATTCCACCATGTTTCTGAGATGGCTATTATGTCAATATCATTATTTACTGTTAAGCATTTATGTTCCCACATCTTGGATCTTAGACTTCTAGCATTAGTATAAAAGCAATTATACTTTTTATTGTTGCCTGGTTGATTTCTCCCCAGCATTCACTAGCAGCTGACCTACATATCTCATGAGATCTACTACCTTTGCTCCTGGCAGGCAAGTCACCATATAGTCCTTTCAGATGTCACAAACCCAGTTATGTATGTGCCTAATAATCAAATTGCCCAATACCACCACCCGCCGCTTCCTGTGCTGGGGGGGTCCGCTGCCTTGGAGGAGTGTCTTTGGTGCAAGAGGGATACTATGACATCAGCTGGAAGGTAGGTCTCACGTAAGGAATAGTTTCCCTCCTTCCCAGCTTGATGCCTTCCATCTCCAAGGCTCTCATCCTCCTCAGCAGCATGGGGCTGCTATAATGGAGGTGGAGCTGCTGAATGTCCATGTAGAACGATTTGAGAACTGGTGCAGTTATATGCCAGCCTTTTCATCTCCAACTCAATAATTTGGGTATAGTGGGAAACTCCTAACATCTGTGGTTACTAAGTGAAATGAGTTAGCGTAGTGGTGCTCACAGTTCTGGCCCTGTGGGCCAGATGAATGATGTGGGGCCAGTCTGCAGGCTGGATTGGGCCCCGTGCACTGGGATTGGGCCCTTGGGTCCTGTGTATCCCCCACCTGGCCAAAATCAGGCTCCAGGACCCCATGCTGCCCCCACACACTGAGAACAGGCTCTGTGCCACTCTGTTTGCCTGATCTAGCATGCAGGACCACAGCCTGCACGAATCTATTAGGGGCCAGATGGCATGGTGCTGGGGTCTGGATCTGGCCTGCAAGCTTAAGGGTCCAGCACCCTTGAGTTAGTGGGTCTTAAATCAGTTTCTAGTAGACATTTCTCCCTGCCAGAGATATCTACTGTAGTGACTATAGATTGATCTTTCTGGTGGCAGAGACAGAGTCCTAGAAATAGGAGCTCCTCTAAGGAGGGCATGTTGGCAGGGCTGTGGGGGGCAAATGCACCCCCCCATGTCTTCTTTGTGTTTGTTTGGGATTGAGAACAATTGGGAAAAAAAAGTATTCATGAATTGGATTTCAAAGTCTCACCTTCAAAACAACAGATTTTGATTTTGTGAGCTACACTGCAGATTAATGCTATGTTTTAGTGCTCAAGTGCCTACCAGTCACATAAATATTGTCACACTGGAGCCAGCTGTGGGCAGGATATAATCAATGTGATCCTCTGAGCTCCAGAAAGAGGGCAGTCATGTGGTCAGATAATGAGCTGTTATTTTAAATGGGCTAAATGCTACTAAAACTCTTTAAATTGAATGCAGGAAGTGGTCACTCCAGTCCTTCCCACTACAGATACCAATTTTTGTAGATTATCACTTTGCAAGTTGCATGGCAAGTTCTTGAAGCTTTTCTGTATAGTTCAGTCAGATGATTGTTGCAGCGGTTGGTAGCAGAAATTGTGAACTGGATAGTCATCTTCCAAATGGAAAATAAATGTTGGGTAAAAAGATCTTAACAAGTGACATTTGATATACCCTCCCTCAGTATTATAAATCTTACTACCAGCACATAACACAATGTGATCTAATTTCCTTACTGCTGGTTTCAGCTCACTTCCCTGCGGTTGTGGTAAGCATGTGATTACAGCATTAGCTGGTTATTAACAGCAGTGTCAGTGATTTAATTATGTTAGCTATTATGAAGTTGACTGACAATGTTGTCCCTTTTGCTGTCACTACAAAATTATTAGCAGAAACATGGTCTCTGCTCTGCAGAACTGGATAATGTCAGCACCTGGGTACAATGGATCTGTTGTAAAACTTGTTTTCCTTTTGCAGTAACTTTTGACTGTGGAGTCTCTGCTTCTCAGAGATGCACACAGTTTCCCTTCTCCCTCTTTACTCTATCCTCTCCCTCCCCACCCTATCCTTAAATATTTTGGAGGGGGAAGCCACTGGGTTTGTGCAGATCTGTGGACCTTTCCTGAGAAGAAAGGGAAGATTTTTATATTGACTTATCTGAAAGTTTCTTTTCTTACAGAAAGTTCCACAAATGCTTGGGAGGTCCTTCTTCCCAGGCCTACACAGACAGCACTACACAAAACCTGGGAGTGTTCATTATTACTATTGCTTTCATGTCAAGGAGCCCAAGCCGTAGGCTAGGGCCCTGCGTGCTAGGTTCTGAACAGCTTAGAAATATATCCCTGCCCTGAAGAGCATCCATTCTAATTACATTTCTTTTCCAAATACACGTGAGTCCTCTGTTGCCATCTTAAATCACTCCTTTCTGAACTATGTTTTTTTTAAACACTTTTACCTTGTGCCAGCTGACCTTTTTTTGTGTAGAACAGCATGGCTTTTATTTAGGGTAGCCTGTGTCAGATGGGAACAGAGGACTCTGGTCCTTGCAACAATATTGTATCTTGGCAGCAAACACTTCTTTGCTCTCTCTTTTGCATGTTAGTCCCATAATTCTTTCTTCCCTGGATTTGTTCTGTTGAGTCTTTAAGGTGCCTGGGTTATTTAAGGCTTCTTATTTTAATTGGCAAATGTATGATTTAGGTTGTGGCAGAAAAACCCCCATACTAAGCAAGGCTGAGCACCCTGTCCCTTCCTTAATGCCATTTTTGTTGCCAAACACTTCTGTGCTGACTCAGGTCATCCAATTCTGAGAAGGGTTCAAGAGCTCTGGCATTTGGGATGTGGATTTCAGCCACAGGAGAGAATTACACCCCAAAACAAGTGATTTTAATGTTTTTCGTATCCTTAAAAACAATGAAATAAAAATACTGTATACTAACTATTCAATATCTAAGGATCTCAGTGTGCTTTTCAGGCATTAATAAACTCATTCTTTAGCAGGCTGCAAGAAAAGTACTCCCCACACATAATTATTTTGCCTTTTCTGTAGGTCTGTTTTGTTTTTTATTTTAAAGAATTTACATACAAAAAATCAGTGTCCCACAGAATTTCAGTTTGTTAAACAAAGACTTGTGAAAGCTAATAGGCCAATAATATGATCCATGGAGGACACCCTTTTACTTGGAGGTTATTAAATTGTTAATGTAACTTCAGTGTTGCAGTGGGTAAGACCTTCGCTTTTTGTCCTTAGTCTGTTGTACAAAATGGATGACCGAGGTTTAGCATTTTGGCTTTTTTTTGTGGTCTGAAACTGGTCAATTCTTCACTTGGGTCACCTAAATCATTTACTTATCTTCTGCTTCCATAAAATCATTTTCCTTCTTGGCTTATTTCTGCAAGTGAAGTTATTGTTTTTTTAATTTCTGTTGCTTTGTAACTGGCAACTGCTTTGTCTTCTAGCCTACAGCTTAATACATTTGGGTTTCTCTAAGAGTGGCATCCAGATTCTCTTCTGAAATCTTGAAATGTGTCTTTTTTTGGCTGCTATCCTGGTAAATGGAAAGGCTGTGGACAAAACTTGCTCCTAATAGGGGCTTAGAGCTACTGACTTTACAATATTCTGACAAGAGTGTTTAATGAAACCATGTAGGCCTTAATAAGTAGTACTGTATATCCATCAGTTTTCAGGACCACCTTCTTCAGTACATATCTTGAGCTGTCACCTGTCTCTAGTCACAATGGCATGCTTTCAAGTCTCATTGGAAAAAGAGAATAAATGAATTCATCTTGTAGTAGCCCGAAAGGCAGCTGCTTATTGTTGGCCAGATGATTGCTTGGTAGGGGATACTTTTATCCCCCCCTCAAAATTGTTTTCTTGGGATTAAGAATGATAAACCAAAAATGTACCAGAGAGCAGTAATAGCCAGAAGGGTACCCACTGGAGTGCAGGCGAAGTTGCATTGCATTAGGTTTTGTCTAATGGTGTTAAACTTTTTTCCCCCTTAGAGAACTTTGGCAACAAGATGGCTGAGCCACGTCAAGATTTCAGTATGATGGATGACCATTCCTTGAGCCAAGATAAGCAGATCTCATCAGGTGAGCCTTACTGGGTAGGGGGAAGCATGGGGGATGGGAGAAGGGCCTTCCCCCACAGACCGGTTACTTTGATCCAGAAGAATGAGGAAGGCACAACTGGGCAAGGATACTGCAGAGTGAATGGGTGAGGTTGCCAGTGGAGTTGGCCCCAGAGAGTGTACCTGTATCATTGAAATCTAGCCAAAAAAGGGGCCCTTCTGTGAACTATTTAGGTTATGTTATTTGCCAGTAAATCTGTTAATCATAGTTGTTCGTGCAGATACTCTGTTGCTTAAAGCAAAGTGATGGCCTCCCTGCAGGAAGTACTGGGTGGGGCATGGGGTCTCGAGTCCTCTCTGCTTTATATACTGAGGCTCACACACACTGCTGAGTCATTTCAGCTACAGGAGACAGAGCTGGCTTTATACGTTGTCCCCAGCAAAGATTCTTTAATATAGGTCATGCTCTAAGAGAGAGGGAGAAGTTAAAAACAAGCTTCATTTCTGGTGCCAGCAGTTAAGGGACCTTTTCCTTTTTCCAATTTTGAGCACGTCTGTGGGAATAAGTCTTGCAGTTCCTGCCTGGTCACTGCTGGTCCCTTTTCAGAGTGTAACGTACTGCAAAAGGCTGCCCTGAAGTTCATTTGTGTTCAGAGATACATTTCCAAAGAAGAAAAGAAGCTGGAGTCTGTACTCTGCATGAGTGTGTGAAATTACAAAAGAATATAGTTGCTTGCAGGAAAAGAAAAAGCTGCTTAGAAATTTTAAAGGAGATGAAAAGAGACTTTTCCCAAGTCTTGTATATAAGGGCTTTGTTGATGATTGTGCCACTGTAGCCATTAGAAGAGGGGAGAGGCAGATTTTAGGCTTCTTTTGTCTCCTTGCCACTCTCCAGAGAGACTACCAAGTGTCAGGTGAACACTGGAGATAAGGGTGGGAGAGGAAAGGTCTGAGCCTCGGTGGTGTGCATGAGGGACGTTCATTCATGTCTTAGATGATAAAAAGTCATCGGCCAGCTGGGAGGGCCTTAAGGAAGAGGGATAGTGGGATCTTTCCCCAGTAGAGACAGGATCAGTCCTTGAAGTCCCTGAGCTGTGACAGAAATGCACCTGCCACATCCCCATGTGACACACCATGCCAGACACCCCTCCAGCCTCTAGATTGAAACTGCCGCATATAATACCTTGCTTTGCCCTTTTGATTTGAGCTGCTTTGGAGAGACGAGCATTCCACAGCAAGTCTTATTGAACTAAGAACATAATCCCCTGTGTGCCCAAGAGATCAGATAGTGTTTTCATTAGAGCTGTTTAAACTAACAGCTCTTTGTACATCATCTTGTGAAGTCTAAAAGAGAAGATTGCAAGGGGAAGCCCATGATGCACTTTGCAGTATTTGCCTTACTGCTGTGTTTTATCTCAGGACCTGAAAATGCTGAAAAAAAGCAGTGCAAAGCTTTGAGTCATGTACAAGTGAAACTCTGCTGGTGTTAGGGACCAGGCTTTTGGGTCACCTCTGACATGGTGATAGCTTTGTAAAAGGGTAGACTGTCAGAAGACCTCTATTTGGCTAACAGCCTTGTTGGCCTCTGTGTCTGCTGGTGATTGGCAAATACATCTGAGACTGGAGTAGGGCTAGCAACATGCATGTCTATGCCATCATTGATCAGTGGATTTCAGAGGGCTGTACAGATATCAGGTAATGAATCCTTACCACCCACTGGGAGGCAGGGGTAAGTATTTTCTTCTCCTGGGAGGGGGAGACAGAGACAGAAGCACAGAAATATGAATGCAAGTTCAGCTCCCCTTGGTCATATAGGGAATTAGTTAGCAGAGGAGTTAGGACTCTGTTAACCAGGAATTCCAGCCCCTGCTTTTTTATTTATTTATTTTTTTACTTTCATTT